TTTTTTTTTGTACGAAAAAGGGGAGAGGAAGCTAAGAAGCAATCCTGCGTGGGAATACCACACTCCAACCAAGTCGTGCTCCAGCCATGGCTTCAGCCCAGCTGGTGGGAACTCGAGGCATTGTAAATCTTCAAGACTAGTAGTCGCTAGTGCAGCCAAATAATCCGCCTTAACTGAGGAAAAATTGGAGATATTTAGTCTTCTGACTGTCGTCAATTTGAGAAATATATCATTGCGTTGATTTTACAGTATATACAAACAAAATGATTTTTGGTCCTTCCACCGACAAAAGCCGGTCAATTTAATCGGCTGTTGAGTTTGATATGTTAGTGGCCTTCCACGTGTACGACAAATAAAAACAATATCCACGTCAGCAACCGATCTCAGGAACCGACTTTTGCCTGTGGAAGGACAAAAAGACGGATTTTTTTTGCAGTTACATTGTGTTTTGTATAAAATCAACACAAACACCTGATTATTTTTCAATTTGGTGTCAATTAGACAACTAAATCTCTAATTTTTTTGATTAACTTCAGTTATCGAGTTACAGATTTTTTTTTATTAATTTTCCCAATACAAATGTACATATATATTTATTTTTTATTTTTGAATGCTGCGAGTGTGAGATGGCTTTCAATCCAACCTTGTTTTTTGTCGCTTTTTAATTTTATATAAGTAGAAAAAAAAAACATGATATAAAAATTGGTCATATAGACACACACACATATATATATACATATACATATATATGTATATATATATATTTGTAAGGTTAAAAAGGGGAGGCCCCCTTAGCATGGCCGCCTATGCTATTTCTACATCAAAATTGAAGACTTTTCGGTTCAATTGTGGTCACAAAATTAAAGCACACATTAGGTATATAAATCTATCTAATGGGGTTTGATTGACAGCCCTTCTTGACAAATATGTTATTTGCTTTTAGTTGGTCCCCTTATAATATTTCTTTTTTGGACACTGATCAAATAATATTGAAGTTTTCCCATAAACAATATTATAATATAAATATCTATCCAATATGTTAATTAACCTTTCACATATGTAATATACTATTTTTGCAATATTAAAGTTCCCTTTTCACTTGAGGTCCAAACAACTTGTTAAGGTTCAAATAATAGGAATTATGACAATTTTTTATCGAGTCACTCATTAATTAATGTACTGAGATATGTCTCAAATGTATTTATTTCGGAACGCACGACGTCGACGCACAATTTGTGGATAATTGTTTATGACTGCAAAGTCTGAGTCAACGAGTGAGTGCAACAACATCTCCATGATATATAAGGATTCTCAATTCGATCAACAGGCCTTCACTCGCGAAAGAACCGAGCCATAATAGCGAACTCCTTATATAATAACGTAAAGCGAGTCAACTTGCTCGATATAGGCTTGCTCCTTGCACCAGTCAGAATGCAATTAATCTTCTATCTTAGCCAGCACGATAAATTCTCCATAAAATTATATCCAATCGATAAATGAATGAGTTTCAAGAAGCTCAAACAATACCAAACACTCTCAAAATTGAGGATCAATAAAGTGCCCACAATTTTAGGTAGAGACAAAAACCCCTCTAAAGGCAAATCACAAATGTTCATAATCCATCATATATATATAAATGATAAATAAAAATGTAAAACCCTTATACAAGAGAAACCAAGTTTCAAAAACATGAGGACGGCCGTTTTACTACTCGATCGGCCTACCAAGTGCTGTCCTCCTCCGACCGAGAAATGGACCCAAACTTTGGAGACTTATCTGGCGGACCTCGGCTTCTCAGCGAGTGCGAACATTTCTATGGCTTGCGGCGAAGCAGCGTCTCCTGACCAATTCCGAACGTGTGAGACGTCATTTAGCGAGTTCGCGTGTTGTGATGTTTGTGGACATGAGGAAACGGTTTTGCATGTTGTTAGAGACTGCCCAGTTGCTATTGCACTTTGGAAGCGCCTAGTTCCAGTGGCTCAGGTGAGCGATTTCTTCCAACCCGATTTTTTGAATTGGATCCGCCGTCATCTTCTACTGTCGCGGCTGGGAGACAGAAACAATTGGAGTAGCCTGTTTGCGGTGGTGATGTGGCGGTTGTGGAAATGGCGGAACGAACGTATTTTTTCTACAGCAAGCATCTACGTTGATGATATGTATCGGACGGTGTTGAGAGACGTGGAGGACTACCTGCGAGCTGCTGAGGCCTATCGACACGTCGGGGTCTCTGATTTTAGGGTGGGCCTGATCCGGTGGGCTGCTCCGGCGACAAATTGGGTGAAATTGAATACAGATGGAGCTTCGAATT